GAAGAAGAAGAAGAAGAAGAAGAAGAAGAAGAAGAAGAAGAAGAAGAAGAAGAAGAAGAAGAAGAAGAAGAAGAAGAAGAAGAAGAAGAGTCAACCAATGCATGAATTTATCAATCCTCTACAATTACCGATACTGATTGATAGGAGTGTGAACAGTAAGTTGGAAGCTTACTTACTTACTTTCTTTACGGTTTCCTTCCTCTGGTATCCTTAGGATGTCGAGGGGAGGGGGTGCAGGTTTGGAGTACACTGAAGAAACTATTCAATTAATGTATGAATTGATCACCCCACTGCTGGCTGTCGACATCAGAATAGACTAGCGATCTGCTCCAAGTCTAATGAAGATCGAAATTTAATTAAACTAGAACTGGAAAAAACAAAAACCCTAGATATATACTTGGTGGCGGTTTTGTGGAGCGCTGTGTCTGAGCAATCATTTGACTCTTTTTGAGCCTGGCATTCTTACATCGGAAAGTGGAAGGTGTAGAATTCTTATCGCTCACCGGTTAACCTTTCTATCCGCACGTCGTGTTTAACTATATAGATCGTATCCATACGACGAGGGGAACTCTGTGCCACCACTTTCCAAAGAGGAAATTTACTCGTTAATCCGATCCGCACTTTTTGCCTAGTCGTCTGTCAAAAGGATTTTTTGAGAAATGCTAAAAGTTTCAAAGACATCTTCGTATTAGAAGTATTCCAAAATGTGAAGAATACAACTCCGGGGGTACAAAATAACCCCAGGGCGCACGGATAGGGTTAACCGAACAGCATGTGGTTACGTCACATAATATAGCGCTGACAGACGTGATCGATGCCCACCTGGAGAGAGCGCCATGCAACAGACCGTCGGTAAAGAATTAATTATAATAATCTTATTGCTTTATCAATCACGATTGGAAAGGAGCGATGTAAAAAATGTGCTAATATTTTGTTCCTTATTACTTTTTAGCTGAGTTCAAAAGCGATTATGGTAGGCCTACATGTATGTAGATATAGATACATGGACATGGATGGACGGATGAATGGAAGCGTGTGTGTGTGTGTGTGTGTGTGTGTGTGTGTGTGTGTGTGG